GAAAGTGATGAGCAGTGTCCTTGACAATTCATCGCACCACTTACGAATGCCCCCCTAGGTCCCTTGTTCTTCTTTTTCACCCGCTTCCCTCGCGCGTTATGGTCGGTACGCCTGCGATGAGGGTTCTGCCTGGAGGACGCCTCAGCAGCTGGGGGACTCGATTCGGGTTCATCTACGTATACTCTTCGCTTCAACCTTCCGGCCCCTCTCCTTCCACCGACATTTACCATAGGCGACGAGTCAGGATCTTCTACAATAGTTCTACTGGGACCCGCTACGCTCGCCAGTGTTCCAGGACGAGGAGCAGATACAGGAGAGCTGGCGTCGTCAGATGAGGGTAAGACTAGCCTTTTCCTGGAAAGACCAACCCCCAGCCGGCGTACCGGAAATTGAGTCGCCATCATCCCCAAAGGAGTGCTTGTGCCTGAAGGATCACCGAAGGGGGAGGAGAGGCCATCTGTCGGCTTGGTGGTCGAAGGTACCGGCGGAGGAGGCATTTCGATTTTACCAGCAGGAGTGCGATGGACTCGAGGGGGCGAAGAAGGCTGCCAGTCGCTAAGGACGTCAGGAAGGAAGGAATCGTTGGCAGAATCCCTTGGGGCCGGCGGCACCACCGGTCGCGTTGGCAAAGGAGCAGACTCGGAATCATCATCCAGATCCCAAGAAAGATCGATGGGGTCGATCTGGCTGAATCCAGCAGCAGCAGCAGTGCCAGGCGACAGCTTATTTCTATTCGTGCCCAATGTCCTACTAGCACTGGCTGGAGATGAAGATGGAACCATGACCTGATCGTCGTCGCCATACTTGATTCTTTTCTTTGGAGAAGGTGAGAGGCTCTTTGCAGGAGATGACGGATCCCGCCTTCGTGGTCCCGCTGGGCGAAAGAAATCTAGGTCCTCGACCTTTGTAGATATCGGGGGAACTTTGATGCTGGGGAATGATTTACCGGAGTTGCAGCTTCTCTTTAAAGGCGCCTTCGGGGAAGGGGAAAGAGCTTCAACATCTGAATCAGACCCAATGTCAGGTACGGTGGCCTGGGGAGTACGACTCGCGAGGGCTGCACGAATGACCTGCTGTCTGCGCGCCCTAGCCGCATCGGCTTCATCTTCCTTATTCTGCGGTTCCGGGAGATCCGCAGGTCTCGGTAGCGATAGATCGGAGTCTGAAGTACGCCCCTTCTTGGCATACCTGGAATCTGCTCGTTTGACAGGTGCCGCTTTTCGCTTCAATCCCTTTGGCTCCTTGTCCTTTTCTGAATACCTAAATTCAGCAAAGAGCGCTTCCAGAGTTTGGTCATCGATATCGTCTTCAGAGGCGGAGCGGATAGGAGAAGGAGCCCGGGGCACCTTCCGGGGCTTCACTGGGTTCTTGGCCTTTGACTTTTTGGGGACAGGACCTGCGTTTTCGTCATCGGACTCTGGCCGCATAGCAATGGCATTCACCGCTTGTAGCAGACTTTTGCCTTTCAGAAGGTCTTTGACAGACTTGAATCCCGTAGCGCCGTCGGGCACCTCGTCCTTCATCAAGTTTTGTCGCTTTCCCTTGGTGCCCTTGGCAGAAGCCTTCTTTGCCTCCTTCTCGGCGTCCATCATCGCTTTTTTGAACACTTGGTCGTCCGGGTTCCACTCATCGATCGCCATCTCCTGCTCCTTACAGTCCGGAAGCTGTCGATCGGGCAAAAGAGGCTCCACGTCTTCAAATAGTTCTAGATTGCGCGAGTGCAAGATCTCTTCCTGGATATCCCGATGAGTCTGTTGGGCGGTATCCCAGTTGCAGTCTTCGCGATTTTCCGACATCAAAACATGGACATGACCGTCTCGTTTTCGACCGGTACGGCCAATACGTTGAAGCTGAGAAGTGTGTGAGCACCGGACCCGGGTGACAAAACGTTACTCACAAGCTTAATGGACGTTCGCGGCATGTCGTAAAGGACAACGAAATCAACCTCACCAATGTCCAGGCCTTCCTCGCCAATGGCTGTGGCGACGAGGACATTAAATTTTCCTTCTTTAAAGTCGGAAATAGCCTTGAACATGGTCAGCGAGATGTAAGCAACGTCAAGATGTATCGTATACCTTCTTCTGCTCCTTCTGGTTAAACCCTTTGTCGCCGTCTCGATCGCTTTGGCCGACAAATTTCGTCGCTTTCAATAGAGGCGCGTTCTCATTCAACATGTCCTGAATTACCAAGTCAGCTTGTATCACAACTTTGAGGTTGAATCGCACTCACGACAATCTCCAAGACACACGGCCGGAAACTACAAAAGACCATGGCTCGAGTGTCGTTCTTTTGGCCAAGAGTCGTTTCCTCCTCCTCCGCTTGGGCAAAATGAGCCATCAGCTTCGAGAAAGATTAGTAATATGCAACAGAACTTGAAAGAGCATTACGCACCAGTTCCAGGGTTTTTGCCATCTTGGGATGTCTATCGGTCGCGCTTTTGCCATTGCGGCCGATCTTGATCGAGTTCAATTCTTCGTTGACATCCCTTTGCAGTCTCTGAGCGTCAAAGTTGTTGGCGAGACTGTTGGCTCCGCCGTTGGTATTGGTCTTCTTTCCTGTTGACGATTTACCCGTGAGGAGTTCGCCGAGATTGGTAGCAAACATGCCAAGAGAGAATTCCAACTACAAGCTGTTAGTTGGCTCCTTGTCAGGACACATACTCACAAGATACTGCATAGCCCTCGCCATCTTCTCCACCTGACCCAAAGGTCCATAGACCCACTGCATTCCTTGCTGCCTACGCTTGGCGAATTCTGCTCTTTTGGCGGTGATGGCAAACGGCCGTAGACGCTTGACATCGAGAGCGTTTGCAGCGAGGACCTCTTTGTCGACTAATTTCTTGACAATCGGCTATACACAAGTCAGCTAGGGATTCCGGCAAAAACGATGTCAACGAACAACCATGAGTTCTCCTAGACGATCCCGAAAATCCACTATCGTATCCGACATGGAAATGATGTGTCGTTCAATGTGCTATAAAGGATAAGTGCCGGTTGCCATTTCACCATCAGTACTCACTTTGGTGTTCATGTATTTCCTGATCTCGGGTGCTTCTGCTTCACGGATCTCTATCCTCGATATATGAAGCGCATCAACCACATTCTGCACCTTCTCAACATCTGCCCCGGGCGTCGCAGTCAATGCCAGGACTCGAAAGTAGGGATGATGGGCAGTGATAAGAGACAGGATCGTAGTGTATGCAAAGTTTCCGGTAGCTTTGTGAGCTTCATCTACGGGAGTCTGTGAGCAAATACACAGACACGAAATTATAGAACTAACCGAACACGACCAACACGATGTCTTTGGGGTCTACGATCCCGTTCTTGAGATCGTTTTCCACCGTCTGTGGTGTACAGTAGAAGACCCTTCGTTGTTCCCACTGAAGTGGGTTAGCAAAGTACTAGATCTTCGCAGAGAGACTCACCAGGTGCTCTCGGACTTTCTTAGTCCCGCTCTGCCCCGTCATGACAGCAGCATCTTTGCTCGGGATACCGCAAGACATTTGACACGCTTCAATCTGTTGTGCGACAAGGGGTTTAGTGGGCGCCAAGAATAATATTTTGCCAGTAGGAAACCACCGGTAAACTGCATGGCGTCAGACAATAGCAACGAGGGAATGGCGGAGATGGCATGACATACAATTTAACATGACCACGCCAGCAACAAACGTCTTTCCCAAGCCTGTTGGTAACGCCACTAAAGTGTTGTCCATGAAGCAATTTCTGATGATCTCAAATTGATAATCTCGTTTTGACCGATTGGTTGGGTATATGTACTCCTTGATGCTCAAACTATTCGGTAGATGTTTTTGAGGGCCGTAGGGTTTGGCTAGGGAGCACGTCAGTTCTTATAGGCTTCATTTGCCTGGTGTATATCCTCACTAGGGTCGAAATTGGATTTTGGTGGTGGTGCAAGCATACCCCCCATATCTTCCTCGTCTTCCTCGTCGGCATATGCATCCTCCTCGTCCTCGTCCCATCCCATTACATTCTCGCTATATCTCGCCTTTGCCTTTCCTTTGCCTTTTGCCTTCTTCCTCATGTCATTCCCGCCAGGGAGTGCAATAAGTCTTCTGCCGGTCTTGGCAAAAGCAGTGCGGTCCCATCTCTTTCCTTCAGTGTATTTTGGGGAAGAGCGCCAATTTAGATGTGTCTGGAACATGCCATCCTGTCGATTGGCTTGGCTCGGGCCTGATGTCGTTCGATTGTTGGAAGTAGATGATCGAGAGGGGGCGCTTGTATTGCGCTTGAATGCGGAATCGGTCGAGTTGGCCGACGCGTAGGAAGGCCCTGCGTTGGTCAAGTTTGAGCTGGCTTTGTCCACTACAGCCGCCAGAGCGTCCTCCGGAATTGCCCATGCGCCATAATCATCAGATGATGGGTCATCAGCAGCTCTTGTGGTCTGCAAACGAGACTGTCCCCCCGCAGCAGCTTTTCTCGCTGGCCCAGTCTTGAGGCCGGGCGCAGAGTATGTTCTCTGCACGCCGTTCGCGTTGGTGCCTTTGCCGCTGGCAGTGGCTTCATTTATTGAAGCTGCTCTTGCTATGCCATTCGGTTGTCTCGAGCTTCCCGGTTTCGAAATCGCCATAGGTGTGGGAGGGTGGGGAGCTTGTATTGATTTTGCCGCTATCGTATCGACCTGACGGAGAAAGGAGTCGTCCAAGAAGAGGTCGTCATCGCCAAAGTAGTCATCGTCGGACATGTCAAGAGGGGAAAAAGAAGAGGGGGATTTGGAGCGGGCTATACCAAGACAAGGCGAGAGAGAAGGAAGAGCGAGGTGGCAAAAGTGAGCGGAACGATGAATGCGACGCGTTCATGAGAGTAGTTGACGTGTTTTGATTTTAACGACCATGTTTTGTAATTACGCGTCCAGAGAGATGCGGGGCTCCACTGTGCCTCCACCGACCCGGGCTGGGCTTATCTTGAGCTGATCTTGACGAACTACAAGATACTTGTGCATACTGGGAACAGACTCAGGACGTCTCTGTGTATAGCCACCCAATGTCTTCACTCGACAGCGCACCGCCTCACAACCGAGAGACGCACCAGTGTCAGTCCTATCCCATCGCTCTTCTTCCCTGCACCCTACTAACGGCGGGGCATGTTCAGTCTTCTTCTACGGTACGCTGTGTGCACCTCAAGTTCTCGCCAGAGTCCTTGGCCATAAATGCGAAAATCTTACCTTCCAGGATGCTCTTCTGCCGGTCAGTCGCTCCTTGCACCACACCTATCAAGTGCTCATGATCTCCGCAGGGATACACGAGGCATCGCGTCAAGGGAGAAGCATACCCGGCCGTAATTGAGCATGATGGCTCCAGCCAGACATATGATACCGAGTCAGTTCACATGACACCTATGATCCTGATTAGTTGTCTGACGATACCGAGAAGCGAGCAAATCGACGCTTCCAGCACCCGAGGAACACTGGTCCACGGCTTGACCAACGCCGATGCACATGCACTCGACCTATTCGAGGACGATGTAAGTGCTTCTTATCTACTTTGATCGGTGGTTCAGTGTTGATGTATGAATGATCCAGGAGTATACCCGCAAACGAGTCCTCGTGCGCACCCTCACCCATACATACACTGTCGGCAATCTCCCTCCTGCCCTTCGTGACCCCACTTCGAGAGAGGGAGTCGAAGGAGCAGCGCACAAAGACCAGGAAGATCTTACAGACAGCAAAGCCGCATCTGTTCCGCCTTATTCAGCCAAGATGTTTGAAGCTTCAGTCTACGTTTGGTCGGATCCCCTCGATAGGCTGGAGCCTGAAGTTTGGGAGTAAGCTGCATCCACATCAGTCATATGACAGCGAGCCTCATCTCGGATATAGTTTTCAATCCTTTACCAAGGCCAAGAAAGACGACTGGAACGACCTGCCCGCAGAATGGTATGACTCTGTTGACAAGGGGCGGACTGAGCTTGCCAGCCCTAATTCGGCATCGATCAACGGTGACCAAAATGGCAAAGTTGAAGATGAAGGGAGTGATGAGGGTCTTGTGGGCCGACAGGCAGAGGGGTATGAGGACTTTGGACATAATCTCCTCAAGCAATGGGCGTTCAGCGACGGCTGTGAGTACCTTGGCTTTCTTTGAAATATAGGGCGGACTGATGTGGTGCTTCAGACGTCAATCTCAACCATGGCTCCTACGGCTCCCCTCCCTTGCCAGTCATATCTGCTGCAAATAAGCTCAGTACTCAGATTGAATCTAACCCGGACAAGTTCATGAGGCGAGACTGGTTGCCCATCCTGGAAGAAACCCACCGTGCCGTGGCTGGTATCATCGGTGCGCAGGAGAGTGAGGTTGTGGTTGTGCCAAACACTACCCATGGTATATTTAACATCGTTGACACCCTCAAATGGGAGCCCGGGGATGTCATAGTCTACTGTACGCCTTTCTTGTGTTTGTGGTGCACTTGCTGACCAGTGCACATAGACAATACCACATATGGCGCTGTATCCCAGATGCTCAAGTATCTGGCGGATTCGCGAGGAATCACACTTCATCCCGTTAACATAAACTTCCCCGTCCCTCATTCTACCGTCATTGAAGAGACGGCAAAGGTACTTGACCAATACAATGAGATCTCTAAACCTCACTACACCGGACAGCCCAAGGCGACGGGGAAGGGCGACGGATCCTCTCGAGTGAAGCTTATCGTTGTCGATGCCCTCTCGTCGAACCCTGGGTGAGGAGCCCGCCTGTCTGTTGATAAACAACGCTGAAACTCCCTTAGCCTGTTATTTCCCTGGCAAGAGATTGTCCAGGTAGCCAAGAGATACGGTGTTCTTTCTCTTGTGGACGGAGCACATGCCATCGGCCAGATCGAAGTGGACGTCAAAAAAGCAGACTGCGACTTTTTCGTCTCGGTGAGTCGGTTGAGCCGTTACAAATGGCACCTCTAACCCTTCCACAGAACTGCCACAAATGGCTCATGTCCCGACGAGGCGGTGCGGTGCTGTACGTTCCCACTCGCAACCAATACCTCATCCGGACTTCCATCCCCACCTCCGCCGGTTACGAGTCAACCAAGTACCCTACTCCTGGCGTCAACGCCGAATGGGCGTGGGCTACACAATACCGATGGACGGGGACACAGGATTGGACGCCCTTTTTCTCTATCCTACCTGCCATCGAGTTCCGCAAGAACGTGCTGGGTGGAGAAGAAAGGATCATGGAGTGGTGTCACTCCTTGGCTGTCGCGTAAGCAATGGTTCCGTCCTGTATGTGGCGAGTACTAATATTCCTCGATAGGGGCTCCAAACGCCTCAAGCACCGTTGGGGTGCCGACGCCGTGATAATGGACACTCCCACACCAACTTTGACTGCAGCCATGTCAAACATCACCCTACCTCACATCCCGCCTCCGACCTCTTTCGCAGACCAGGCTCAACAGGCCAGATTCTTGGAGGATGGAATGTTTGAAGCCAATTGCTTTGCTGCTTGTTACATGCATGCGGGCAAGTGGTGGGTGAGGTTCTCGGCGCAAGTTTGGAACGAGGTGAGTATCCTTCCTTGCTCCCCTTTGCGTCACATTCAGAATCTGATCGTCGACGTAGTTGAGCGACTTTGACTACATAGGAGGTGTGTTGGAAGATTTGTGTCTAAAGATCAAGTGAGCTGCCTTGGCAAAGTCCCAAGTTCGGTGCTGACGGACAACAGGAATGGAAAGCATCTCAAACAGGCCGAGGTCGTTGAAGCCACAAAGAACGCGCCAAAGCAACCCGTCCAGGTAGAGTAGCTTTGTTGTCCCGAGGAAGACGAGTAGATTGATGTCGCGGTCTTGTATCTATCTCAATGTCTTGGTTCCACTTTCGTTGTCTTCTAGGATTCTGCTAGGAAGAAGGAATGCATGTTATACAAAACCTGGCACAAGGTTATTTGGTGTGGTGGATTCTGAGCTTGCCGGGCACGTGAACATAGTTGTTGGCTGTATCCTATAGTCAGCGTGACGTCCCTCGCCAAATCGCCCACATACCATAGCTCTTGGGAGGCACCACGACCTTCTTTGGCTCATCAACCTTGTACGGCCATCCCTGCTTCTCAGCAAAATAGATCGCCTCCTCCTTGCTCCTAAAGAACAAGCCTGTTCCCTGCACATAATCCGCCGAGGACGCCCAACCCATCAATCTGTTCTCCCATCTCCCAGCACCCTGCAAGACGTCAAAGTCGACAACCCATCGCTTCGTCTTGCCCTTGGCTGACTGCATGGTGTTTTTTGTGGGACGGTAGATGCGAACAGGACGGTGGAGGAGCTCAACTAAGTGCATGGTCAGTGGTGGGACCATTGTCGCATTACGGCTATGCGCGACGCGAGAAATAACGTTTGCTTGTAGCCTTCCAATACTTACCAGGGGCACCTGATACAAGATCGGCCTGGATACCGTTGACACCCTGGTATTCTGTGGGAACAGTGCCGTCCTGGATGGTAGGCACAGGGGTTGTAGAGGACTCTGGCCTGCTGGCAGAGTTGAAGGCGGGGATAGAGGCGTGGATGGCCCGACGACTGACAGAGGCCAGGGGGGAGAGGGGGGCTGATCTGAGGAGGGGGCGGAGGGAGAGCATGGCGGCGTGGCGGGGTATGAGAGAGCAGCCTCGCGATAATAGCCCAGTGCAGATTGGCTGGGAGATGACGGAATCAAATCTCGACTGAATACGTAAGACCTAGCATGGTGATGTCCGCCTCCTCAGCTCGCTCAAGCGATGACGGAGACTAGGCCACTACGAGTACTCGTAAATAACTATGAAACTAAGATGTTGAGTGGCTGATGCAGCTGACATCAGATCGAGAAGGTAGCCCTGAGATCGATCTGTTGCCGTCTGTGGATATACGAGAAGTGCCAAGTTGCACAACACCACTCGTACATACTTGGAGTATACTACACAACATCATCCTCGCACACACCTAGGCGAGTACTCGATAGTACAGATGTTTGAGCCATCTGGTACCCGTATACCTCATTGCCGTATTATGAATGCATAGACCACCATGGAGTGTGTACATTAAGTGATATCCATGGGATTGACAAGTCAACAGATTCCAAAAAGATGTATATCATGATCAACTTTACAAGATAACCTAATGAAGAAAAAGCCGGAAGCCCTTGTAATATAAATATAGACAGAAAAAAAGCCCTTGAAAGATATGCGAGACACTTTCTCGCCACCCCACCTCACGTCACTCCACTTAGACCTCTAATTATTTATTTATTTGTTCGAACCAGAGTGGGCTCAGACCGTGTGGTTGACAGCGGGATAGGAGTTGGTGTCGGACAAGTCCTGTTCCTTCTCCCAGCCATGCATGTCGTTGACTTCCTCGTCCATGCTCTCGACGGTAGAGTCGACGAGGGTGGAGGTAGGAGGAGAGATGAGAGAGATGATCAAGTAGATGCTGCCGGCAACGAAGAATGAGGTAAGCCAAGAACCCTTGTCTGTGATGAACATCAGCAAGGCGCCATCATGCAAGGAAAGAGTAGCGGCGCACAAAAGTAGACAAAGTTGCCAATGTAAATCTTGCTGTTGATGGCGTGAATGAGACCGGGAAGGTTCATGGGAACCACGATGAGCAAGGTCAAGAAGGCTCGCCAGTTGATACCAAACTTGTATCGGTAGATACCCTCGTTTTGGTAGAGCATGGGGACGTGGAGGTGAGTCTTTCTCACAAACCAGTAGTCAACGATCATGATCGACTACGCAGAGTCAGTCTTCGGTCATTGAGGGACGGACAGTAGAAAGAAGACGTACCACGATAGGGGCAAGAACGATGATGTAGCCAGAAAGGAAGGTGGTGAGGGCTGAATCATGTCAGTCAAGTGGATGAATCATGCCCAGCCCACTTACCCTGAGCTGAAGCCTGGATCTTCCAAGGAGCAGTAGCCCAACCACCAATGATGGAGGTGATGAAAGCACCACGCTTGATGTTGATCCACTTGGGAGCCAAGAAGGCCAAATCGTTGGAAGTGGCGATGGAGTTGGTGGAGATGTTGGTACCAAGGGTGGCGAAAGCGAAAGCAAAGGCGACAAAGAAGGCACCCGCACGGTTGGTCCAAAGGGCAATGATGGAAGTGGGGTCCCAGTAAAGAGTGCCATAGATGGCTTGTCCAGCAGAGGCAATGACAATACCGATGAACGAGAAGACAAAGTAGACAATGGGGATGAAGAGCATCTGCCAGTAAGAGTCGGAAGTTCGTCGAGCGTATCGAGTCAGATCGGGCTAGAGCCACGTCAGCCATGTCCCCGTGATTGGCAATGCGACTTACAATGTTGATGGCGAGGGTAGTCTTACCAGAGATGGCAACGTTGATACCCGCCAACCAAGCCCAAGACTTGGTGGAACCTGATAGGGAGGAGCTCTGGGAGAAGATGGGACCGCCACCGCCAGCCTGCTTGACAGCCCAGCCTAGAGTAGCAAAGGCGGCGACGATAGCAAAAATGGACTTGACAAAGAACACCCATCGCATCTTTCGGGGGTGGATCATGACAAGCGGGAACTGGACTGGTGAAGGGGTCAGCGCACGGACAGGGCGAGAGGGCCTGATACGTACTAATCCAGAAGACAAAGTAGGCGATCATCTTGTTGCTCGTAACACCCTGAGAAGTGGGAATGGCATTGGGGTAAGTCTTGAGCTGGGGCCAGATAGCCTCGAGACAGATAAGAGTACAAGAAGCACCGATGTAGGTGTTGATACTGTAACACACAAGGGTCAGTCACCGTGCACAGATCGCCAGTCATGTACGCACCCAAAGTAGAGAAGACCCAACACCAGACGGGAAATGACGGCAAAGTAGGAAAAGTAGAATCCAAGAGATGCACGAGAGGCGATAGAGAAGGGGACATGGTGTCGGGAACCAATCACACCGTTCAGGGTGACGGCAGCAGCGATGATGATGTTTCCGATAGCGCTGTGTTGCTAGATGAGCTACTACAAAGACCCTGGTTTCAACGAGCTGGCTTACATCGCGGCCGAAGCTTCACGCCAACTGAGACCAAGAGCGACGATGGAACCAGCTTGCTGCATGGTACCAACATTGGCACCATCAGCCAACCACAAGAAGAGGTAGTTGATGCTACATACGATCTTTAGTATGGTGTCAATGTATACAGCGGGTGGTGCTTACGCTCGCCAATTTCGCTGCTCGACGGGGACCACATCGACATCAGCGTTACTCCAGCCGTCATGGGTGGCGTAGGAAGCAGGAGGGGTGTCGAGATGCCAGTAAGAAGAAGAGAACCACTTCTTAGGCTCGGGCTTGCTGAATTTGAACATGATTGAAAACTAGAGGGTGGTAGAAAAGCAGCGATGATCAGCTGCAGTCCTAGGCAACGGGTGTTCGATGGTGGCTCCAGGCGCAAGGAAAAGAAGAGAAGAGGGGCGGAAAGGTGAAGGAGAGATGAGGAGAGATGACGGCAAGTGTAGAAGGAGAGAGGATCAGGAAGGATAATGGGAAGTCGAGAGGTGGGAGAGAGATCGGATATTTATGTACTCGCGTTGCCTCCTTACGTGAGCAAGCGAGAGGACGGAGAGGGGCGTGATGGAGCAGAGGCACTGTATCTGTGCACGGTCCTGCTGATACACCGTTCGTTGCTCGTACCTGACGCTGACACAAGGCACACGCAGGGCAACACCATAATTGCACTCCCTGCCGAAGCAACAGAGCCCGACGTCGCATCAAGGTTACCCGCGACATGGGGGCCATGTGGCGCACTCAGCCTCGAGCCTATTGCCACGCGCAGTGGTTGGGCAAGCAACGAGCTCGAAAAGGCAGGCGGCTAGTCATCCTCGTCCTCGTCCTCGTTCTAGCGTAGTGCATACCCACGCTAGAACACGTCGAAACATCCAACATGACTCCTTCCCACCGCAACACCCCCACAACATTCGGATGCCACCAGCGCAGAAACGGCCCGGACTCACTGATTGTCTCAATTACTGTGCACAGTCGCCAATGTACTTGATGGTGGATCGGTAGCTGAGGGTAACAGTCGTGATGCCGTAAGCTACAGAAGAGGAAAGATGTCGGGGACTGTCAGGGATGAGATGTATATACACAACGACTAGGAACCAGTCAGCGACTGATGCCTGATGGGCCTGATGTCTGCATGCGTTGAGCAGCGATGGGCTGCCATCCAGTGCATCCAGCCTCGGAAAAATCCAGGCATGGAGGAATGACTGTCTGTGCGCCAGGTCCCAATGGGGCGGATGGGCCAACGACAGGGAGCGAGGCAAGAGCGCCAAGGTGGATATCGGGACACTTACTTTTATGAGCCACCCCGTACTTGTCCAGCGGATCTGACAACGAGACGGGTCGCACTGAGGGGTACAATAGAGGTTGGGGGTCGAAGCTGGGGGCTTTAATAAAGCCTGCAAAGCCATTATCAGCATAATGAAGAGCAGCCTGAAGAACAATAGAAAAATGTCGCCGTACCTTAATAGATGGTGAGACAGGCGGCAATTCTTATGTCTGTCTGAGCCCTGTCTGCAGCCGTGTCGAGGAAAAGTCGTTTTGAGAAGAAGAGATGGAGATGGACTTTCAAACGACCGGCCGACTGCTCTTTATTGCAGGCCTCTCGATGCGATCTCGTGCGAAGAGGCAGCCAGAAGGTCAGGAAATGCAGGACTTTTACCCTCAAGCTAACGACGTACTAGCACGGCGGGTCAAGCCGAAGTCGTTCGCGCCGTCGCGGGGCGAGATTTTTTAATTGCGTCTTACAAGTCTCGCAGGGTCTTCCTCGGACAGCCGCAGCTCAACCACCCCGCTTTATTCGCACACTTGCGACGTTTTGGTATCATGGGGATGTGGGTCGAAAATTGAGATGTAAAAAGACTGGATCAGATCAAGCGCACAAGGTGCAAGGTGTACGTATGTATACGGCTATGCAGTGAGATCCGCCTTCCCACATGTGCTGCATCATCGCGCTCGGCAGACATTTCCTCCAGGCATCTTACGCATCTTGACTCTAGCCGTCTTGGCTCTCATCTCCTGAACATGCTCGAGGGGGAGAGGCGCGAGGCGTGACCCTTTTTGCACGAGGGCATATGAGTCAAGATTTGCATGCCTGCAGGATACACGGACAGGAACAGATGGAGGAACCAAAGAGGAACGCAAGTCTCGCAATCATCACTCCTCCAGCCTCACACATTTCGCAGTACTTCCAGAGACCAGAGGCCCCAGAGGGCTTCTTTCGGTAGACTGTATCCCGATTTGCCCTCGATGCACACAACCTCGCCATGTTTATTCGCCATAGACCATCGAGGCTCTGCTGATCACAGTCGCAGGTCGCAGATCGCAGGCGGGAGCGAGTCACTTTGTGCGGGACCTTAGAGGCGAAGCGCGGATGTAGGATGCATTTTGAGGGGAGTCATCGCTTCGCAGCACATAGCATGTAGCATGTGCAGCATAGCCCCAGAAGACAGAGGAGTGCATACCTGCTGTGCATATGGGCAGGAGATAAGATCCGGACATTCGGGGTCGGGGTACGAGTCATCCCGGATCCGTCACCCCAGCCCGCCCACCTGTTCTTCTGCAGCATCTGCAGTCTGCATGCAGGATCTGCAGCAAGCTCATGTGGCCAACTTGTTTCTCACTCGCACAGACACTGGGGAATGCTGCATGTAGAAGCACTTGGAGTTTGGATACCAGGACCAGAGAGGCCAGAGCCAGAGGCCGGCCAGAGGTCGGTTCGGCTTTGTGATTCACTACTTGTTGTGAGACGAGGGAGGTACGTATGTATACTACGATTCCATTGGGTGTAGCCTCTTGCTATCCTGCAGTCATCATCCGTTGCCGGCGAATTAGGACGATAGCGCCCGTGCCGCCTGCTATGCGCCATATAGCCTGAATTGAATCCCCTTGTAAGCGTGCTATGCTTGGGTTATCCTGCATTCATTCTGGTCAGCACGCCGCCCGAGTACAAGTACATCCCATTCCAGATGCCGCAGGTCAACTGGTGGGTTTGGGAGATTCGAAAGCATTTGATCTACCTCGTGTTCGTTAGGCATTGCCATCGTGCTTACTTTCAGTGAAACTCTTCCGGAGGCCAGAACGGATGTACAACCTTGTTCTCTCTGAAAAGTAAGCACAAGATGGCAAAGTGACAGATCGGTAGCAGGAAATTGTCGCATGATGGGCGAGCCGTGGGGCAGTGGGCCCAGTGGGTCCAGTGGGCGATCAGTTTGCGTACAAAAGGAACGACTTGGACTGCTACTTTGCAGCATGTGATTTAACTGAGATCTTCGAGGACGACGATGATGATGGTATCGCGGATAACCCTAGGCTATATGCCAGCCATCAGGGCCATCAGCAAGCACAAAACCGATCTCAACATGACTCTGTATATGACACTGCTGCTCGACGTGAGCAAGAAATCGTCGTGTCTTGGTTTTCCTCGCTCACTCGTCACGACCACGAGTGACATCAAGTAGCAACAGTCACGTCGTGCTTTGTAGCCAGAAAAGACGAAGATGGGATCCTGTATTGGAAGTCTCGAATTGTTGCATAAACAGACAACGAGGCTCCGTTGCCGGCAAAGATCAGGTTTTCAAGGAGACCGGGACAGGAGAAGGTAATGTGCGACTCGACAGTACAAGTAGTGATCTTGGTCACAGATGGCCATATACAGATTCTGTTGGAATCAAGACAGCATACCATCATTACCTTAAGCTTGTAGCAACATAAGGTCACGTCATGGACCCATTGCCAGTCCTCTGACTCCTCTCTCCGACGGTAAACAGTGAGGAGGTACAGATCGTGATCTTCTAGTATATCACCCTACCAATGACAAGATTGTATGTATATGCAGTCAGAGTACTGACAATCCGGCTAAGCTGCCACAAGTCGGTTTCATTCATGTATTCATGTGCGTCGCTCGCGCGTGTCGGTGGGTACCTTACGAAAGTGGTTTGCGGCGTCCTCCACCGCTGCGTGTACGATGCAACCATGTACTTCGTCTGCTACCTTTTTCTGTACTTCTACGAGTATTGCTGCAGCCCAATCTGGTCCTTGGTTCCTCATGAACACATAGGTCATTGGTATGCCATCGTCTTTCGCTGTCGGTTTGCGCGTCTACGAGTGCTGATCTTACTGCTAGCTCCATTTTATCTCCCTGTCTCCTATCTCGTCTTCGCATTCAAAATTCTACTACCGACCTTGGTCATGCATACCTGATTGTGACTATCTGCGTGCAATACACAGAAGATGAGCAGAAAGAGGAGAGGAGAGTCACTGTGGGTAGACATGTGGACAGCGGTCGCCATGTGTACGCGAATATGGATCAGCCTATCGCAGACGACCCACAGCCCCAATGTATTCAAGAACGCAACATGTCTATCGAGAGTCGGGGGAATATCGGGAACTGGGGTGTCAAAGGGGCTGAAAGAACGTCTGATGGCTGTGGGTGACGTCGGACATGCCGATGTACGAACGCTGACGTCTACAAGGTAGAGTCATCCTTCACTTCGTGCAGAAGCCCGATCCCTGTCCCAGTTTTCGCACCTCATGGAATCCAAAATCTTAAGGACAACTTCTAACATATCTTGCAGTGGAGATACCCCGGCGTTCCAATCATACTTTCAAACAGGAGAATCCACCCCCTCAGACTTGCAAGAGTCTTTGGCCTCTGGACATGATATTTTCGAGAGGCTAAATCGATCGGAAGAGGTCTCTAATTCTCGTCCCCTGCTCGCCCCGTCGACTTGCCCAACAGAAGATCTGATACATCCACCTTGGCCTTTGCCCACGTCAAGCCATCAGATGCTTAGGAACGGAAGCTCGGCGATTGGTGGGGAAGTGGTACCCGGGCCCAAGGTTGATTCTGCAAAATCAACCAGAATCAACCTTGGGCCCGGGTATGAGCGTTTAGCCAGAAGTCTTTGGTTGACTTGAAAAGGGCTGGTCGGAAGACAAGAAGACAAGAAGAGTCAGAACGACGCGAGGGCCCACTACTTCAAGGACGGAAATACCAAATACAGTCGGGTGAGATTAGTCGCCAATTCAGGGCTGTCGAAAGACGTACCAAGGTAGATATGACTGCTGAGAGTCCAATCCTGCTCTCTAACCACTTCTATGTACACAGGGAAATCTGTATGAATCCGGACTCGCCAAGAGAGGGCTCAAACTGTGCGAATGCATCGCATCGTGTTCAACTTGATCATAATTGTAGAGCAAGCCAGATACTGACTCACTTTCGGCCTGAACAATTGGAAGTATACAGGCACCCCGGGCTTTGGCGAGTGTACGTAGAATCTCGGGCCCGATCTGATGTCTGATGGTCGATAAGACAGTTTATCCTGCTGTGGCTTGCAATATTTGACCCCTATGTATCTACTCGGGTAAAAGTATACTCAGAGCACTCTCCGCACACGAATGTGATAAGTTTGATTCGCGAAAAGCTACTAGAATGTGTGCAGTGTCCGAGATGGGATGCAGCAGCCTGTGTTGTGGAGCTTGTCTGGAACATGGTAGATGGTAATGATGATGACAAGATATTGACGCAAGGCATGCTCTTCACACTCGCTTGATACTACACATATGCTACGCTACGCGCTATACGTCTATTGCGTTCTAGGGCTTTGCTCCTCAGGGAAATGGAGGATGAGGATCAGACTGAAGCGAAGAGATATTGGCATATGTCTGAGGGATGTGGACTACGTTGCGGGATATGTTATTGGTATGTAGATATGTCGTGCTGACGAAATCGACCTGGATGTCATCATGTCGAATCGCTGCAAAAGCTGCAGACGCATTTGGGCATGCAACGGCCTATGCATTTGGCGTGTGCAGGCCGGGGTACTTGAATGGCTTCACCCCCACAGAAACACAACGGACAGCTGCTAGAACCAAAATGATTATTACAGAGTTGAGTGACGCATGCGCCAAAGTCACCAACGCGTGACCAATCAAGTCAGGTGCTGTACATATGGGCTGTAGAGATATGTGCCTCAAGTATCTAGAGAGCCATGGACAGGGAGAGACGGGCTCGCCTGTCGCCTTAGTTGATGATGCTCTGAAACCCTATGTCCCCGCTCTATCGATACAAAAAAGCCCAGGCAGATGCACTCGCGGCCGCATCGGGCTTCGGGCTTCGGGAATGCTGTGGCTTCGGGCTTATTAGAAAAACTTTCACAAAAGACGCTAAAAAGAGGGTTACTGTAATAGATGGCGCTTCGGGCGCTTGGAGGATGTGAATTCCAGTGGGGCCAGCTGGCGGAGAAAAACCGAAAAGCCGAAGGGGCGAAGGTTCCCCGAAGAACGAGTCCGAAACGAGTCCGCCGCCGCCATTCTTCCCTCTCCTCCACACTCACCACAACTAATTTCTTCCCACCAAACATCTGCCACAGCCCATATCTTTTTCGTTCAACATCCATCTTGCCCAACCTCTATCTCCCCTCGCGCAACCGTAAAGCTAGCCAAGGACGTAGACGCAAGGACCAGGACAGGGATCGCCCTTTCCGCTGCACGCTCAGACAACCATCACTCCAGCCTACCCAGGTCCTTCCCGACTAGTCGCTTTCCCCTGGCTCCTCTCAGCCTAGCCTCTATCTAGTCGTTACTCACCCACTCGCCTCTCACCTCCAGGTGCGTCACCTTTGTGCTGTGGCAGCTGCATACTTACCCGGGCCAAGCAGAGGCGCCGGATACCGAATCCTCGTCGTGGATCAATCACAACATCACTCTCACCAAAACTTTGTCAGCGTATCTTCGGATTGAACGCGTGCTTCCCCGTCGATCACCGCCTATTCTGGCAGTCCACCTGCTTGCGCAGACATCCTTCGCTGCACCTCTTCTATCTCAATCCAAGGTAGTGCATTAACAGCTTTCTGCTCTTCCGTCGGCCATCCACCCCCAACCAACGTACTTCGGGCGAGAATTTCCCCCCACTCCTCCCCACCTCACTCGTACCTTTATTTATCCCGATCAAAAGAGGTTCGACAGCACTTCGGCTCTCTTACGGCCCAACTGGTGCTTCAACTATAAGCAAGCTCATCGTCTCTTGCTTCGACAAAAAACCATCTTCTCCTCGGGCGCCAAGTCAGCCAGTAAAACGAATTTGTGTATAAGGATTTCAGGCGAATCTAATCGCGCTCGATAGATGCGTCCTTATCTACCTCCCGCTTCGTTAACGCGCGAGAGAGAAACATCCAGTAGCGAAAATATCATGCCGCCCGTTCTTGCTTCTATTGGTCAGTTTCCCTCAGCCCCAAGGTGACCGTTCTGACCTCGCTCTGCAGGTACTGTCCTCATCGACGCGTTCGACACTCTTCCTCGACCTGTCGTGGATGATGTCTCGCCAGAGTACTCGAGCCCAACCTCTCCTGGAGTACCCCAACCTCCCATGAGTAACGTCCCTCCTCCTCTCTTCATACCCCCCTCCCATCTCCGTTTATCTCCGTCATTGTCCTCGCCGAGTGCGTCCGCACCGTCGGGTCCTTCTACCCCTCAGCTCTCCTTGGATGACATCCCCGTCCCCAACGCTGAGGAAGTGTACGAGATGCTGGGAGGCGGTGGCCTCTTTGCACTAGTGGGTGCCCGTATCTGGCTGCCGCCTAGTCGGTTACGTGCTCTTGCGAATCGCGCACCGCCTGAAGAGGATGATTGTCCGAAAGACATCGAAGACAGGCTCAACAAGCTTGGCGAGGAAATATGGGTATGGAACCGTGGTCCGGGGGTCAAGATGACTCGGGCTCGTATACGGTACGAGGGCAATGTTAGATAGTGAGTAGATTTTTTCCCATTCTTGGCACGTTGCTGGAAGCCGGTGTTGACGCTGTGCGCTAGCTTTCAGCCGATAGTCAAGGCTCCTCATTGGTCATGGACCGATATGTGTGAATCTCCACTCCGAGACTCTGAATATCTTCACATAGCTCCTCCTTACTCTCCCAAAGACGTCTTTGATCTGATCGAGGAGCAAAAGGCAAGCAAGGGACAGACCTGGAATCCCAAGGTTGTCTTTGAGCCTACTCCGCCGTCGTGTCATGCTGGGCAGCGGGAATGGCTAGAGAAAATTTTACCACACATCCACGTTCTTTCGTAAGCCCATACAGCACTGCCGTCATTACTCTACTGACCACACAAACAGCCCCAACCACGAAGAGCTCTTCTCATTCTACGACATTCCCACCATGTCTGTCCAATCTCCGTCTCTCCGGCCGACGGTTGAGCATCTTGTGACGTCCCTCATCCACGACGTTGGCATTGGCGCCGACGGTGAGGGTATAATCGTGATCCGATGTGGCTCCCTTGGTTCTTGTGTCGGTACAAAACAAGGCGGGCTCAAGTGGTGCCCGGCGTACTGGGATAAAGAGAACAGCAAGCGGGTCAAAGATGTTACAGGAGGTACGTTCATCTGTTGGATTGAACAAGTATCATATCTGACCCTTCTCAGCTGGCAACTCTTTCTTGGGAGGCTATGTCGCCGGCCTGCACCTTTCCGACAATCCGTACGAGGGTGAGTCAACTACACTACTGTCTGTGAGGACACGCTACTGATCATCACTATTAATAGCTGCACTTTACGCTACCGTCTCCTCCTCCTTCGTTGTTGAGCAATTTGGCCTTCCATCTCTCACGGGTGCCGATGCCAGCACAGGAGAAGAAGAGTGGAACTCTGACAACCCCAGCCGAAGACTTCGCCATCTTAAAAAACGTCTTCTCGCCATTTGCAACTGAGCCCTGATTCTCTCTTGCCTGTCAACTTCATAACTGTACATATCGCATCTCTAGAATAGTGTCTTCATTTTGGGTGTGTTTGAGGTCTTGTCCTTCCGAAATATCCTGCATCAAGATATATAACATGTTCTATCATATAACGGAGGGTAACGAGTGGTAGAATTTGATACAACTGTAACGACATCGATGTCACTTGTGATCGCGTTCACCGGTCATGGAACAGTAGTGGATGTACCATTGGTCAGGCTCATACCTTTACACCTTTATGAAACGGACGGCTGTTGCCCACTTGAACGGTGGCATTTCCCGAATGCACGTAACTCGAGGCTATTTGCTGTCCAATCCACTCCAATAAAGCCTGCAGGCGACTTCTTTCACTACCCAGTCCATCCCTTCGTCGAGCCCTTTACCGGTGAACGCTGAACATGGGTATACGACCCAGCGATGAGATGCAATACTCTTGAGTTCGAGCGCCTATCGAATCAACGGTCAGCCGCCAGTCTTTTCCTGGCGAGCAGGCTCACATCACGTATCTCCTCGAGGCTCATGGACCCGTCAAGATCCTGCTTGTTGGCAAAGACCAGTAGCGTCGCTCCGGCAAGTCTCTTCAGCCCAGTCAGCACCTTGTTCCACGGCACTTCTCCGGCCCAAGCTCACTTCTTCTTGCAGCAGCTCTTTCAGCTCGTCCCTGCAGTCTTTTATTCTCATTCGATCCGAGGAATCCACCACCCATACGACAGCATCCGTAGATTCAAAATAATTGCGCCAGTATGGCCGTAATGTTCGCTGGCCCCCAACATCCCCTGGACGCTATGTCAGTAAAATAAGAGATAACACCTGGGTAAGACTCACAAATATTGAGTGTATACCTGTCAAGTGAGTCAATCACTCATTCTCATCGTGAGCTTTGACTCACCCGTGACGGATGAGAGACTTTATGTTGAAGCCCAGGGTCGGACTTATATCAGAAATGTTCTCATTGTTAAGCTTTTTCAATATCGTTGTCTTCCCTGCATTGTCCAAGCCCCTGAAGAGAACTGTAAGTATACGGATCAATCTTCTAGCAGGGACTCACAAAAAGAGCACCCTCATCTCTTTCGACTTGGCCTTGTTCTTCCGGATGATTGTAAGAAGTCCTGTCCTGGTGGTCAGCCGCGAGCTCAAAGTGAGGGCAAGTGCGTACCCATGGTGACTTTAGTTCTTCATCTACATATACTGGCCTAGAGCTGTTATTGTTTTATCAGTTGTTTGGCAGCTAATTCAGACGTCATTCAGCAGGAGCCAAACCAAAGTCAAATTACAGAAAGTCGAAGAGCCAAACGCGTGAACGCGTCCTGCGGACATGACCGCCAATTATATCTGCCGGCGGCCGTGTATCAGCAGCGTTGAGTGCTTGTAGAGTCTGCAATCTGCTGTACAAGTACTGTACACGACTAGCATGGAGTAGAGCATCTCAAGTAGCCAACGCGAGTGTCCTGGGGACCGTGATGTTCTTTCAGTCTCTATAGAATACATCGAAAGAGGCCAAGACTCGTTGAGCATGTTGTGCAGTATGTACGACATGTCGAATTTTCAAAGAGACATTCAGATGATGATGTTGCATGTATTGTAATGCCTCAATCACATGCCTGACATGACAGCAGAAAGGAGCCATAGAATCTCATTCCCTCCGACTAGCCTTCTTCATACTGTGCCTCTTCTTCAGCTCCATGCGTTTTGCCTTCTCCCGTCTCTCGAGATCCTTCACCCTAGCTTTCTGTTGAGGTGAAGTAGGATTGATAATCAGAGACTTTGCTGCTTGTGAGATGATTCTCGATATCTCGCCAAGGGCGGTGGCATGGTTGAGGGGCGCGTGTCGTTCCTTCTGGGACGAGACGAGGATGCAAGGAGGGCTGGGATGGTAGTACGGCTAAGCGCGGTCAGATTGGCTGTTCTAGTTGATGTCGAGACGGCATACTGATTTGACGAGAGCTGGCATAACGAATTTTGGAAGCCACTGCCCGACCGCTTGGTCCAGCTCGCATCTCAATGTCACCTTGGACTCGGTCTTATTGACATGCTATGCGCCATCAGCACCTAGCACAAAGCATATTTGAACTGCGGGCCTACTTGACCGCCTGGCCCACTGGATCGGCTCCTCGTCTCCGTGTAGCCTGACCTGGGAATGTCCTCTACCACAAAGTCTCTGACCCAGGCGCTGGCCAAGGCATGGTGGGCATCCGAGTCGAGCTTGGAGAGGGCGAGTAGCTCTGTGGGCGGTCTGGCACAGAGGCGGGCCGTGGTGGAGAAGAGCCGTGTGGAGAGTCGAGGCGGGAGCATACCTTACCACATACTGCTCGCTTGCTTGAGCGGAGTAGTAGTATGGCAGCGGATCTTTAGGTCGAGGGTGCTCGGCCGTGTGCAAAAAGTTCCACGTAGCGAGATGGAACCGGGTATTGGTCGGGTGCCGGACGGCTATCACCTCCCCGGCTGCTCTTACTTTATAACCCCCAGCAGAACTCCCCTGCCGCTGTCCCCCAGCGCGATGTCTGTTCCGCCCCTCCCACCGCACACCGTCGCCCGCCTCCTCCCCCACCTCCTGCCCCCGGCCCCCCTCCCGCAGGACATCCTCTCAAAGACCTTCCTCCAGCGTCTCGCCTACCTCCCTCCGCCCCCCGACGACCTCGACGCCCACCTCTCCCCCTTCCCCTCCACCCCAGACCAGCCAGTCTCCTCCCGCCTCAGGGAGCTCACAAGAGGCCATCAGTGGGGCAAAACAGAGTATACTCGCGAAGGCCCCGACATCTACGCTAGGCTCGTCGTCGAGAAAGAGCATGGCGGCGATGGCGTCGAAGTCTGGTTCGAGCACGAGCCTGATGCGCCGGGCACTCTTGGGAGGGGCTGGGTCTACCAATCTGCCCGCATACCCTCCGTCACAGACCACGCCTGGGTATCCGACATCTCTTCCCTTCCCCCACCCCTGTCAGAGTCACTAGACACGACCCCTACCGAGGCAACCGACGATCCGACGACTGCCCCGTCAGACTACTGGGCAGGATTCACTGATGATGAGCCGACAGAGGGGCCGCATGTCGCATTTGACCTCCCCGATGACCAGGCCGAAGACGCCTACTGGGCACAGTACTCTCGCCCTGCTACTGCTCCCATGACGCCTGGTCCCCGGACTCCCGGTACGCCCGGTCTCTATCATGCACACAGCGAGCCCAACCCCCACAACCTCCCCCACCCCGCACAGGCATACTTTGGCCAGCAGCCCAAGGCAAAGGCTACCGGCGAAGAGGTGGACGAAAGGGCGGTCAAGCTCGCCGAAAGCCTCATCGGGTTGGCGGCGCACAACGGTGGGCTGACCGGTATTTCGAGTCTGTCCCTCGAGCCAAAGGGGATATGGAAAGAGACTGGGGAAGATGTCAAGGCCCGGGTAAAGGGAAAAATTGGAAGCGGCTTGAACAATCTCTGGAAAGAGTTTACAGCCGGCGCCGAGAGAGAGGACAAGGAGGAGAAGGCGATGGAGTGGCTGCGTATAGCCCGAAATGTCTGTGACCCTGCTTCACCTGTCGCACTCAGTCCTGGTACTGCCACAGACCGAGCGGTAGCCAAGTTGGAGGTGTTGAAGGATATGTACGAGGTGCTGAATGAAGAGGAGGAAGCGCAAGGGTTCTGGAGAATGCTCGAGGGGGTCATTAGGCGGAGTGAGGTGGTCGAGGAGGATGACGAGTTGACGAGGCAGCAGATGTATTACGAGTAGTCTAGCAGTCACTTTCTGTACGCATGTAGATAGCGCATTGTCATGAACTTTATGGTACCCATAACGAGTATTGTACGAGTGCATAGCAATGACCCAAACAGAAACAAGCCGTATGCAAGGGGGTATAACGTCGAGATTCTCGACTTTTTGTCTATAAAAATGATACAACAAAGAGTCTCCTCAGTCTCCTCATATACTCCCAAGGGTCTCCTTACGCCTTACCAGCCTTCCTGGCCTGCTCTCCGATCCAGTTGAGAGCACTACCCGCCCTCAGCCAGTCCATCTGGTCACTACTCAAGGTATGTCTCGCCTGCACTTCCACCTTGTCTCCGTTCGGCTTCTCCACCACGATAGTCACCTCCTCTCCGGGCTCGCCGGCGAGGATATTCTTGAGACCCTTGGTAGAAACCTTATCATGGGCAGAGATCTTGGAGTAGTCGGCCTTGTCGACAAACCAGAGGGGGAGGATACCTTGCTTCTTGAGGTTGGTCTCGTGGATACGGGCGAATGAACGAGCGAGGATCATGGCGCAGCCATAGTGTCTGGGCTGAAGGGCAGCGTGTTCACGAGCGGAACCTTCTCCGTCTATGCAAATAGTCAGCTTTAGTATAGCGGGCGAGCGGCGATCTCACAGTTGTCGTCGACGACCAACATCCATGGTTCAGCCCTAGCCTGGTACTTTTGCATAGTCTTGGGGATGGTGTCTTCTTCGCCAGAGTGGTCCCTAGCAATGTTGATCTGTCCACCCTCATCGTTGACAGCAGTCATCACTGCTTTTGATCAGCTATATTCTTGTTGAAAAGGTCAAGCACTTACAAGTATTCTCAGAGATGTTTGAAAGATGCCCCTTGTACTTCAACCAAGCACCAGCCGCACTGATGTGATCGGTCGTGCACTTGCCCCTGACCCTCATCAAACACGTCATGCCCTCCAGCTCGGCGTTCCCTTCCGGGAAGTTGGTACCGAAGGGCTCGAGGATCTCGAGACGGGTAGAAGAGGGAGAGATGGCAATCTCGGTCTCGCCAATGGGCACAGGGGAGGGAGAAGGAGCGTAGGAGAGGTCACCGGGGGTGTAGCCAGTGGGGGGAAGACGGTCGCCCGAGGGAGCCTTGAACTTGAAAGGTCCGTTGGGGGTGGGGATGGAGTCGGTCATGGGGTTGAAATTCAGGTCACCAGAGAAGGCCATGGCAGTGACAATCTCGGGAGAAGCCAAAAAGTTCATCGTCTTCAAGTTGCCGTCGTTTCGAGCCTTGAAGTTTCGGTTGAACGAGGTGAGGATCGCGTTGTCCTCGCCCTTCTTCTCCTCTCGCTTCCATTGACCGATACAGGGGCCACAGGCGTTGGCGAGCACGGTGGCACCGACAGACTCGAGAGTGGACTGGAGCCCGTCACGCTCAATGGTAGCCCTGATAAGCTCGGAACCGGGAGTCACGAGGAAAGGAACCTTGCTCGTCAAGCCAGCAGCCTTGGCCTGTTCAGCAATGGAAGCGACACGGGACATGTCTTCGTACGAAGAGTTGGTGCACGAGCCGATCAGAGCCGAAGACAGGGAAGTGGGGTACTTGTTCTCGTTCAAGAACGAAGAGAAGCCGGAGAGGGGAGTAGCGAGATCGGGAGTGAAGGGACCGTTCAGGTGGGGTTCGAGTTCGGACAAGTTGATTTCAATGACCTCGTCATACTCGGCGCCTTCGTCGGCCTGCAAGAAACCTTGCGAAGCCGCATTGTCGGCAGCATCGGCGACGGGACCGCGGCCGGTGGCGTGAAGATACTGGCGCATGTTGGCATTGTAGGGGAAAGTGGAGGTGGTGGCGCCGACTTCAGCACCCATGTTGGCGATGGTAGCCAAGCCAGTACAAGACTGGGCAGTGACACCGGGGCCAAAGTACTCGATGATACGGCCGGTACCACCCTATAGCGGATCAGCATTGGTCAAGTATGAAGGAGGGAGAGGCTTACTCGGACAGTGAGCTTGCCGGCAAGATGCAAGATCAAGTCCTTGGGCGTCGCCCATCCCTTCAATTCACCAGTCAACTTGACACCCGTTATCAGGGGCGCCTTCAACTCCCAAGGAGTGTCCGTCATGGCATCCACCGCATCGGCACCTCCAACACCAATAGCGAGCATACCCAAACCACCGGCATTGGGCGTATGCGAGTCAGTACCGAGCATCAAGAGACCGGGGGCGGCATAGTTTTCAAGCACGATCTGGTGGATGATACCACTTCCCGGCTTCCAGAACTCGATACCGTACTTTTGAGCGGCAGACTGGAGGAAATCAAAAACTTCCTTGTTGGCGTCGATCGACCGGGAGAGGTCGGTGACCGCACCGGTTTGGGCTTGGATAAGATGGTCGCAGTGGATGGAGGAGGGGACGGCACAGGTGGGGAGGCGACAGGTCATGAATTGGAGCAAGGCCATTTGGGCAGAAGCATCCTACAGATAACGTCAGCGGCATAATTTGATGATCGGGGGCCATTGAAGACGCACCTGCATGGCCACTCTATCGGGGGCAAGCTTCAGGTACCGTTCGCCTCGAATGGGCCCACCGCCTCCAAGACTCTCTTCTGGATTTCTCAAGTGAGAGTAGAGGATTTTCTCGGCGAGGGTGAGCTTCCTGTCCTTGGGCAGGACATGCCTGACATTTTGTAATGTCTTGAGGAGGCGGGGGTAGGGAGGGGTGATGCTTGTGCAGTCTTTGACGGGGAGGGGTGCGGGGGTGGCGAGGCCCCTGGTGAGGGGTCTGGAAATGTGGCGGAGGTGGGAGCGGGGGACGAGAGGCATGTTGAGTGATGTACACACGTTTTCCGCGCGTATAGAGCTATGCGCGATGCGAGCTGAAAACTTAGAGCCGACTCGCACAAATGACAAAAAACAGCTCCTGGTTGGCCCCCGGACTTTTTGCACGGGGGGGCCGAATAAGCCAGGCACGCGACGCGAAGGTGGAGGCGCGATGCCCTGGTACATTGCATACACTCGTAGTAGCTCGTAGTAGGGGAATTAGCCGGAATGGTTGTTGTTGCAAGTGGACGCCAGGCTGCACAGTTGCATTGAGCGGGGAGGGGCCATCGCATGCAGTGGCAGTCGGCGCATCCCGCCCAAACACAACACCGTCAGCCACATTCCACGCTCAGACCTCCTTTCCCGTCCACTCAACCTCCCATTCTTATCCCTCTTTCTCATTTCCATCTCATTCCGCTCACCTTTGCACCCGGCACAAGTAAGCACCAGGATATGTCAGACAACGAGGAAGTGCGTCTACCACTGTCCCATGCTGTTGCTCTCCCCTAGGGTCATCCAATCCGCCCCCCCTCCCGCCTTTCGTCGGCCATACTGACCCCGTAGCTCCCTAGGAGGCCACTGTCAGCTTCGAGGTAGGTCTCTCGCTAGCGACGGTCATCTGGATACTTGAACCTGACTGGCCCCGCAGTCTGTCGACGAGTTACAGCAGCATGTGAGTCACCCGCCTACGGCCCTGCGTCCCACCCGCCGGCACCTCCACCCTCTCCATTTCTCTACCATACGACACTACTTACCTATATCCTTAGGGAATCAATGCTCTCGACATTGCCAAGCTCAAAGCCGCGGGTATCGTCACCATTGTCGGCGTCGCCCAGACTCCGCGCAAGAATCTCCTCAAGATCAAGGTGCGCGTGCCGGTACGTTGCGTCTGCAAGAGCTCAAATTACGTCAGGGTCTCTCAGAGGCCAAGGTAGAAAAGCTCAAGGCCAGTCTATACAAGCATTCCCGGGATCCGGCTGACACTAGCTTCCAGGAAACATGCGCAAAGATGTTGGTATGTGTCTGGCGTCAGCCACCACGAGCACAACTGACCCCTCTACCAGCCTCCCCCCTTCCTGACCGGCACAGAGATCGCAGACAAAAGGCAGAACGTTGTGTACATTACCACAGGCTCCAAGTCTGTCGACGCCATGCTCGGAGGAGGTATCGCAACTCAGAGCATTACCGAGATTTTTGGCGAGTACCGAACTGGCAAAGTACGATCTTTCTGCCAGTGCTTTCGTTCTCACGCTGACCTGATTTACAGACCCAGCTTTGTCATACCCTCTGTGTCGCCACCCAGCTCCCCGAAGACCAAGGCGGCGGAGCTGGCAAAGTCGCTTACATCGACACCGAGGGCACCTTCCGTCCTGACCGTGTCCGCGCCGTTGCAGACCGCTTTGGTGTCGACTCTGGCATGGCACTCGACAATGTACTCTGTGCGAGGGCATGGAGCAGCGAGCAGCAGTGCGATCTACTGGTGGATCTGGCCATCCGGTTCGTGGAAGATAGGAGCTACAAGCTGTTGATTGTGGACAGTATCATGAATCTGTTCCGTGAGTGCAGTGGTGTATATGAGGGCGTAACTGATATAAGGACAGGTCAAGACTACTCTGGTAGAGGAGAGCTCTCCGAGAGGCAACAGGTGATTGCATCAACGAGATCTGATGGCGCATGGCTGACGCTGACGCGCGCATTCAGAAACTGAATCAATTCCTCGCCAGGCTGCAAAAGCTTTCTGAAGAGTTCAACCTTGCCATCGTACTGACCAACCAGGTCCAGGCCGATCCTGGTGTAAGCCCCGAGTTCTATACCCCCAGATTTGGACTCACAGGAATAGGCCGCTGCAATGTTTGCCGCTGCCTCGATGGCCAAGCCGGTAAGTTCTCACCTTTTGCTGGCGTTTTCTGTGCTTAATGATCGTCAGGTCGGTGGTCACGTTCTCGCTCATGCGTAAGCCGCCTCTCCCTACTTTCAGACTCGGGTGTTGACCGGATCAAAGCTCTGCTACTCGTATCGCTCTCCGAAAAGGTCGAGGCACAGAGCGTATCGCCAAGCTTCAAGATTCGCCCGATATGCCAGAAGGTGAAGCAACGTACAACTTGGGATCAGGGTACGTCTCCTGACTCCTCATTTGTATCATTTCTGATGAGCTGGCAGAGGTTGGGAAGATCCCAACTAACAATATTTCGTTCATATCATTTCGGACTTTCGCATCATCATCACGTGTTGTATATACTTGCCAATCTACTGCCTTATATATAAGGGTATTACTGCCGAGTTCTTTGCCTGCTTAGACTTGATAGACTATCAACTTCATCGAGGATATGTTTATCAGTATACTGTATTGTATCTAGCATGAGACGCCAAATGAAGGACATCTCCCGTCCATCAATTGGGCAAGCATATTTCCATTAGTCATATCTGTATCTTAGCGCAATGCATTTTGTTCATAGCCGTAGCCCGCTCTCATTACAAATACTCTGTTTTCTTTATCTATTCCTCAAATGGGTACTCGAACGCCGGCGGCACATCCGCCTCTTCTTCAGGGTCTTCCGGCTGGGAAGCAGCAGCAGCAGCTCCACCACTAGGGGCAGCATCCTCCGCGCCTGTCGTTCCGGTAGCCTGAGCCAGGACAGCGGCGGCAGCCTCCGGGTCGGCAGGTAGCCATCCCGGCCATAACGCCTTACTGAGCTCGATAAACTCGCCCTCCTCCTCGGGCTTCTCGTCCCTCACCACGACGATACTTCCACTGGCACTGTTGCCAGACTTGGCCGAGATACCAAAGCTGGTAAGAGGTGAGTGGTCAAGAGGTCTGACAGGAGTGTAGCGAGAGGATTTGGGGAAAGAGACAGATGGAAGTTGGGCGGGGGTGACTCGGGACATGTTGGAGAAGATGAAGGATGACGGCTCGGAAGGCTTGACTTTCTTTGGTGTAGGGGCAGCCTCCTTGGTCTCCTCGATCTTCTCGTCCGTGTCCATAGCTTCACCAGCCTCAGCCTTCTTGACCCTCTCCCTAGCCTTGGCCCTGGCTGTTGTGGACAGCACGGCCGCCTTGGTCTTGTCCTTCTTCTTCTCCTCGACCTTCTTCTCCGTCGCAGGGTAGGCGTACAGGCTAGCCTTGGCGTTACACTCCAGATCAATCTTGGGCACACGCATCTTGCCGTCGATGGCGATGACCGCAGTGGGGGTGAAGGCAAGACCAAGACCATGGGCAAGAGGGAACCAGTACCAGAATTGGACAAACAGCGCCATACCGACGACGGCGTTCTGGTTCAAGGTACCGGCGCGGGTAGAAAGAGCCAAGGTCATGTTTCGGCCACCGGCGTCAATGATACCCTGGGCCACAGAAGCGCCAAATCGAGCCATGGGATCCTCGTGCTTGTCGGCGACCACCTTGGCAAAGAGCTCTCGGATTGAAGTAGACTTGGGGCTGGCGGCCTCTGACTGTTGAATGAGGATCATTGCAAGAGAGATATAGGCACCTTGTCGGACAAAGTCGACAGGGTCCTTGGTCATGGGCTCAAGGAGGTCAATTGCAGACTGAAACAGGTATTAGTTCCAGCACATTACAGACTTGTAAAAAACTAACCTCGAGACCAGTACCAGCGCAAGAGATACCAAGAGCAAGAGTGGCTCCATATCTGACATGCGGGTTGTAGCTCTCGGCCAACAACTGGACGACTCTGGGGACAGTGGTGTGATTTCTGAAAAGGACAAAGCCCAAGGCAGTGACAGCGGCTCGTCGCACGTCGTCGTTGACGTCAGAGACAGCAACATGCAAAAGCTTCTTGACCGCCTTGTTGTTACCAGTACCAGCGAAAGCAAGAGCGATGGTGAACATGCCGCCGTATCTGAGGATTGCATCCTAAGAGATAGTCAGCATTGGGATGTGCAGCGACAGCGATTGACTCACCTTCTCCTCCAGTAATCGGTCAATCACAGGGTTAGCAGCCTCCCTCTGGCCGTACATGAGGAAAGCAATGCCCATGGCCAAACCCCTGATAATCTTCTCATGTTGGGTCTCCCTAGCATATGACAGCATCTCGTCAAGTGCCTTCTCCGAAGCGGTACCCAGCATGATGAGACCCATCGACAGGCCTGCCGCTTCACCAGCAGTGGCCTCGTCCTGGAACAGGATAGGGCGGATCTGCTCGTAAAGCTCCTCATCGGCAGAGGCAAGCGCACTGACACCCATGCCCAGAGCGGCACCATGCTGAACCACCGGGTCATTGGTATCCGACAGGCCCTTCTTGAGTTCTTCTTCGATAAACTCGACTCGTCCAGCATAAATGAGACCCAAGGCAAAGAGGGCACCACCCTCGCTGTATTTATTGGGGGCGCTGCCTCCGGGAAGGTAGGGCTTGACGATTCGGTTGCCGTTGACCCAACTGCTGCGGTGAATAAGACCAAGGGCAGCAGTGGTTGAGAACTTGGCCCAATTGGAAGCTCGACCAAGCCAGTCGAGGTTCTCGCGAAGGAACTTGTCAGAGGCGGTACCGCAGTTGGCAAAGGCGTTGACAAAAGTGATGGCGTTGTGGTACATGGAGTATCGGTCTTCAAGGGAATCTTTGGTAACCTTGAGGATCGAAGCGTCGGTCTTGTTGTTCTTGTTCAAGAAGTTGAGGAACAACTCTGCCGATGTGTCTCCTCGAAGGATGTTGTTCAGGATCACTCGAACGTCGTCTTCCTGCACAAAATTAGCTAGTCCTCATGAACCCAAGACGACACTTACATCGCCATCGACGGGGGCAGCCCATTTGGTCTCTGTGAGCTTCTCCCTGACTTCGTCGATGAAAGCCTGCGAGGCGACTTCTATCAAGTCGAAAGCAATTTGATAGGCAGTAAGGAATTCGCCCGCTTCAAGAAGTTTGACCAAGGTCTCGACTGTAGGGTCGACGTCGGAATTCTGAGCCCAGACGGTGGTGATGGCGGTGTAGTCGGGGTTGGGGTTGAGGTGGAGCAAGCGGCGGAGAAGGTTGAAAAGCTGAGGCAAGAATCAGCCGGCTGCCCATGAGCGCTTTCAAATGACTTACGCCGTCGCGGAACTCTTCCGTCCAGGCCTCGTTGCCACTGGCTCCGGACACGACCTCTGCCAGGACATACTTTAACAGACTCTCGTCGTGGACAACTCGCTCGGCCTTGGAAGACGAGGACTGGGATGAGGATCTAGAGCTGACGTATATCATCTCGATGAGGTCGAGCCGCCGAAGAGAGAGAGCCAAACCCATTGCCTGCAAAGCGATGAGCGTTTGACTTGGAGCATACAAGTGGTACTCACGAGCTTTCCATTCTCCCCAGAGCTTCCCCTGAGGACAGCATCCACGATATTCTGCAAATCCACAGGGATCTTTTCTCCTCTCTGCGTCTTCTCAATGGCCTGATCCAGACACCCAGCTGCCACATGTGTCAACAATTATTCCTCTCGGCCTGGGATCGTACACTCACCGATAATTGTCTCCTTATACTCCCCTTCAGACTCCTTCTCGAACGCCGAGCCTGCTTTCAGAGCAAACTCTACGGCTTCATCCTGGAAACCCATGTAAAAGTAGATCTTGGATATAAGAAGCGCGGCGAAAGGTCGGTTCTCTGTGGAAAGTTCTTTGGAGAGGGGGTCTGCCAGCAATTCCCTACACGTTATGGGTCAGCCTGGCCTACTCGTCCATGCACAAAGACGCACAAGAAGGGAAGCTTGTCAGACATCTCTGCCCAGAACTGGCCGACGATGGAGAGGAGGTGGTTGAGGGCGTAGACGCGGACATCCTTGTCGGGATCCTCGAGGAGGGTGAGGGATCCCGCTGCGCTGGTGGTGACTGCTGGGACGGGCATGGCGGGAGGAAGAGGGGATGAGGGAGAATGATATAGTCACCGTTCTCCTCATTCGCGTCGTCGCTGACGCTTGCGTGGTGGAGTGTTATGTAAGAGCTTCTTTACGTAAATGCTCTTCTGAATGATCATCATCATCTCAGCCCTGTATATAAGCAGTTTTGTATGCAAATGGCTGCGTTGTGTTACTCTAGAGCGTTTCTCAGTATGCAGAGGCGTAGTGACTTTCATGCGGTTTGCAGTATGCAATGTACAGAAGTATGAGTTTTAAGCAGACGCCATAAGCAGAGCAGGTAATATTTTACGAGGATTAGATATGCTATAAGTTGTACCGATTATAATGATCAGATAAAAGAGAAATCCGTCTATTTAGAGTAGGAATCCCACGACCGAAGCCAGCAAGACCAGACTCAAGCCCGCCCCGAGCTTCTCCGCACCACTGCTCGTGCTGCCCGCGTCCCCAGAGTCGCCATCAGAAGATGAAGAAGAAGAACTCGAGTTCGTATCAGGCGCATCCGCAACCCCAGTACTGAGCCCCTGCGCCAGCAGCCAAGGCGGCACACTTCCAATTTCGGGCTCATACGTCCCCGGGTCGGTCGTATTGTCGTCGCCCGCCCAACACCAAGTGTCAAAGCATGACTGGCACTCGGAAGATCGGTTGGAGGAGGTGTAATCGAAGGCCCGGTCTGTGAGGGCACAGGCGAAGCAAGTGGGCCAGGTCTCAACAGTGTTGTTGAGCGTCAGGGAGCGCATGGCATTGAGCATGACACCCTCAGCGACATCATTGTCGTATGCGAGTTTATACTAGACCACGTCAGCTTGGCAGAAAAGCATGATCATGAATCACTCACAGTGGAAGTGTTGGCAGCGTACGACCACGGGTAGGAAGGAATGTAGATGATGACCGGGGTGGAAGTGTCATTGCACCCAAAGAAGGTTGGACGAGTGTTGTAGCCACCGTTGATCATACCGGCCTCGCTCGGGATCTCTGGCATTCGCACCTTGACATTCTCATGCTCTGCCAACACCTGGGCTCGCTCATAGGTAGTCCTGAGGGCGGTACCGTTGGGCCAGATGTAGGTGGTGTCATAGGACGAGTCGAAGGCCACGATAGCATCAACGGCACGGGCAGGCGCGATGAGAGGCTCCAAAGGCACGTTCTGGTTGGTCTCGCCCGCGTCGATGAGGGTGAGGTATTCGAAATCAGAGACGGGGTTTTCGTCAGAGTTGTAGTTGGCGAAAGAATTGGGGATTCGAGAGATGTCGAGGTTATCCTCGCCGAGCTCGCCGAGAATGCTGAGGCAGAGAGAGTTGAGAAGACTAGACTCGGAAGAGTTGACAGAGAGGAAGATGCTGTTGAACAGGGTGGCGGAAGTCCCCATGATGAACCTATATAGATGTCAGAGTAGACTTGGTAGCAAACAGGGAACACTTACGAGAGCTGATCGAATCCCTTCCAGCAGGTGCCGTTGGAAGACCCGTTGTTGACCTCACTTCCGAGGTACTCGAGGGGCGTGAACGCACCTGGGGCCTTGTAATCGCTGCCGAAAGCCCAAGATCCAAACTCGTAAGGCGTAAACTCGTACACTGTAGCG